GTCGCATGAGGGCATCAACCGTGTCATCCTCTGCACAGGTCAGGTATACGCTGCGCTTGTTAAGGAGCGTGAGGCCCGCGGTGAGAAGGACGTTGCCATCACTCGTATCGAGCAGCTCAACCCCTTCCCCTGGCAACAACTGAAGGACAACCTGGACTCGTACCCCAACGCCCAGAACATCATCTGGTGCCAGGAAGAGCCCCTGAACGCCGGTGCCTGGTCATTCACCCAGCCCAGAATCGAGACTCTGCTCAACCAAACCGAGCACCACAACAGGCGTCACGTGATGTACGCTGGCCGCAACCCTAGTGCGTCGGTGGCCACTGGACTTAAGGTGTCACACAAGAACGAAGAGAAGGCCCTATTAGATATGGCTTTCACCGTAAAGCAGGACCACTTGAAGGGCGAGTAAACGCTGGATGAGGCGTGGAAAGGGGTAGTTGGTCATTGATTGCATTACTTTATTCCCATGATATGTATGTTTACAGCGTGTAGTCTCGTGTGCTGTCGTGGAAGCTAGATGTACTTCAATGACAGTCTGAACAAAAATTCTTTACTTCATACATTATCCTGCCTTTTACATGCCTTTCTGTGGTCTTCTCTGGGTAGCTTGAAGAAAGGGTCGTAGCCGGTAACCCCCTACTTCGAAACTCGGCCTGGCGTGGAACAAGTCGCCGTAGTAGGTAAACTTAGTCCTCCTACTTGGGGCTTGGGATGTATATCTCACAACATGATCGGGTTTTGAGGCATACATTGCGTTTCGCATCAACGGTTGCTTAATTAAAGACCTACTGACGAACTCTAGACTATACCCGAAGACAACTTCATTATCAACATCAGGTGAGCAAATGCGGATTCCCCTGATACACAAAACTCGGCTTCCTGCGCGCCTTCAGCTCAGACCTCTCTCCGTCTTCCCAATGATCCCACACATTCGCATGCTGCGGGCCCTCCACCTCACGGATATAGCCCAAAGCACAGTCCTCAAATTGGACCTTGGGTTGCGCTGCGTAGAAAGCATCATAGCGATGCGATAGTGCTTGTTTGAGTGATTTGACCCTGTTGTCACTACCGTGTAGCACGCCCCAGGGATCTCTGCACGCTTCGCCCTTGCATGATTTGAGGACCATCATCAACGCGTCGATGCGGTCGATGATGGCGGTGAACGAGCGACCTGCGATACGGTAGGTGTCACGTTTCGCTATGAGGTCCGCGTCTTCGCCGTCGAAGTAGTTTTCCAGCTGACCTGGGTCGAAGCGCATGTCGTAGTACTCCTTGTCGCCCGTGCAGAAAACGGAGTAGTAGATGTTGTAGTCCTCACCGATGAGGCGGAGGCCCTTGTACGTGTTGTTGCGTACAGAGTGGAGGTAGCCACCCCAGTTCTGGTCGGGCGGATGATTCTCTTTCACCGGGTTGTCGTAGTGGCCCCATATGCCTTCGGGGATGGCTCGGCCCCAGTACTCGATGTTGATGTGTTCTTGACGTTCTGCAGATTCGGCAAGAAGGGTGTCTTCTTTTGACAGAGGCATGACGGAGCCATCGAAGTCTTCGCGCAGACTCTGACCGGCGAGCTTCATGATGGTAGGAGCGAGATCGGTGTGCGAGCTGACAATATCGGTGGTGTGGCCCTTCATTACACCAGGTCCACGCACGATGAGAGGAATGTGGATGTCAGTCTCGTAGCCACACTCCTTGCCGGCATGAAGGCGATGCTGACTTAGGTGGTACCCGTTGTCAGTGGTGTAGATGATGTATGTGTCTTCAAGAAGGCCCTTGTGCTCGAGAGTCTTCACAAGTTGCTCCACCATCTCGTCTACTGACTGAAGGGCACGAAGGCGGGAGCGTTGGAACTCATCATTGTAGTCAATGACTGTGTCGTTAAGAAGTGGAAGTCTCTTGACCCATCCTGTGCCACCCTGCTTCTCGGGATTGAAGTTGGCATCGCGTGGGATCTTGTACTCGGTGAAGAGATGGGCATGTCTCTCTGCATATTGAGGCAGATCCGCGCTATACTCCTCGGCGGGCACGAGCTTCACGTTGCTATGAGGCGCGATAGGTGCAATGGTAAGGAACCAAGGCTCAAGGTGTTGCGTTGCTTCCTCGAGAAAGTCATACGCCTTCTCTGCAGTCACATCAGGCGAGTATTGACCTTTGTAGCTTATGGGTGGCCCACCGTTGCGACTCATGTGCGCGTTGTAGTATTCGTACGTATAGGGGTCGAGGATGAAGTCGGAACCGTTGTACCCGCCGGCGTAGGGTGCATTGTAGTTGTCAACAGAGTGGTGGTTCCAGAGCTTGCCAGAATAGTAGGTGTTGTAGCCAGCGTTCTGCATCCACACTGGGAGGTAGTCATCGTTGATACCTTCGCGGACGACCTTTGGGTAGCCACCTGAGACGCGTTAATGAGGCTGACAGTATACGCGGAGATGTCTGCTAACCGTAGGGTGCAAAGACGTCAGTCACATTCGTGTTGTGGGCAGCTCTTCCGGTCCAGAGGTTTACGCGGGACGGGCAACATAGCGCAACCGTACAGAAATGGTTCGCATACAATGTACCTTCATGGAGTAGATACTTTTGCAAGAAAGGCATGTGCTCCTGTTCTTGGTGAGTCAATGTCATTTGATGCAGCGCGAGATGTACGAACCAGTGACTTCATATGCCAATCTTGATCGTCTGTCAAGATGAAGAGAATGTTCGGCTGCTTCGCTGCTGCACAGTGCAGTGCCGAAGGAAGCACTGCATAATGGAACAGCTTGAGGAACTTCATGGTGACAGGCCGTTGTCGAAGCTGACGACTGGACTGGGTGAATTGTGCCCTTATAAGGCATTATGCGGTTGAACGCGCTCTCCCCGCGTTCGAACAGAGCCATGTTCATGGTCGATGTTCACGCGTCGTTACTGGACTTGAAGACGAGGCCGGCGCCGTGACGCGTGAGTGCAGGAAGCGGGTGGAGTTCATGGGTCGATGCATTGTCACGTAGTGCGACGCTAAACCTCGAGCACGAGCCTCACCCCACACCTGGCACCAGCCATCGCGGGAAATGTCTCCCTCGTGCTATCGTCTCCGCATTGCGTGCCCGGCTACGACGCAGCAAGCCGCAAACGCCAATCCTCTCGCGGCGATTCCTAGTAAGTCGCCGAGAATGCCGGCGCGCTCCTCTCATGGCTTCTCCATGTGGAAAGTTCGTCACCGACGAGACACGCAGCCATGGACAGGACAGTGGCAAATATGAGTACCGAACAATTGTACCGAAAGAGGACATTCGACAGACTTAACCAAAGAGCTGCGAGAGCGCGGAAGAAGTCGCGTATAGCAGAGCTAGAAGAAGAGGTCGCTGATCTGAAGCGGCGCCTTACGCGCTCGGAAGGCCTCGTCAAACAGCTGCAGAACAATGAAACATGCCTTCGAGAGATCATCAATTCGGCGCGAGTGTCCCTTCAGATGGTCGATCACCACACAGTCTCACCATTCGATAGAGATGCATCCTCACCATCGACTGGAGCAGTCCCAGACCCATCCTTCGCCGAGGCCGGGCTCGACATGTCGCAAACCTCAATATCTCCTTCGAATAATATTGGGGCCAGTGCAACGTTGAACTTCGCATCGCATTCACTATCTGCTGGCCGGAGCGATGGCTCAGCGACTATCGATGCTTCAGCTTACGGCGCAACGTCGACTGAGGGTGTGCTTTTGAGAGATGCAGATACTGGGCTGAGCCTAGAGCTGCCTATCAGTGCGGACGAGTCTCTTTTCAATATGTGGGATGGCACTTCGAGTAAGTCTCGCTATCGTGAACTGATCGGATATCAGCTAAATCCTTAGACCTGGAACCAGACGCGAACAATACATACTCATTGTCACTATTTGGCGCGAATGCAGCCCAGGACGGTGTCGGCATCCCAGGGGATTGGCCTTTCGCACCAGAGCTCCCGTTGTTAGACGTGGCTGGCACATCTTCACAGCCTCCGCCGTGGGAGCGACTGCCGCTTCATGCATCCGCCACCTGTCGGCTCGATTCTGTATTGCTCGGGATCATCGTTACCAGCCGTCAGCACGTGCAATATTTAGGGCAGCTTCCAGAAAAGTCTTTCCCTAGCGTTCGGTCGTTGCTCAACCCTGCTACCCGCAATTCGCAGAATCCGATTTCGGATGCTCTAGGTCAGCATGGTAAGATAAGTATGGCAGTCAAGGGCTCAGCCGAAAGGGTTGCGTGTTTGTATTATATGAGCCTGTTGCTACGCTGGCTCATGTCCCCCACAAAGCGCAATTATGAAGCCATGCCAGACTTCTTGAGGCCTGTAGAAGCCCAGCTAACAATACCCCATCCGATTTGGGTTGATACGATAGTTTGGTAAGCTTACGGTCAAAGGTTGAGTACCACTACTGACGATATAGTTGAAGGCCTGAAGCACGGAAGCGCATACTCCAGTATATGGACTTGTCTGAGGGGCGGGAGTTCTCCAAGCTACGGGAGATCACGGGCAATTCGCTGTCAATCCATTGGCCTCACGACATATCTAGTATCCTTATTGTCGCATCGAACAGTGAGCTGCAGCTCAATCCGGACTTCGAAAGTCACGTCCGGCAGCTAAAGCACTGGAAAGTCGGGCCCGACATGGTGGAAACATTCCCATACTTGGACTGCATTCCGACTACGCCTTGATCACGCATGCGTCGAATGACTTGGTCAGCGCCGCAGCTGATGCAAGACTTCATTGTACTATACGGTGTTTGTTGATCGTTTGTAGCAATTCGGGCTATATGTCCCGGCTACACCATTCCACCACAGGCTGCCCATGGGTGACGTCATACACCTTGCGCCATCCAAGTTATTGACTCTCACGCGTAAAGAAAGGGGGGCAAGATACGTTGTCTACTCGGCCGCGTTTGCTCTCAATAGGTTTCTCTCCTTCGTGATAAGTGCGATGGAAAATGCGATGACGGAGGCGACTAGCCCAAGCACTGCCACAAGTTAGAAAAGTCAGGCCTCGAACTTTCTTTACTTACCGAACACATGCTGCGTGGCGTGTATATATGCCGGCATCAGCAGCTCGCGAAGACCATCACCCACATGCTGAATGTAGGCGATATCTGATGTTGCCTTCTCGACTATCTCCGATGCGTCATTTCTTCCCTCAAGGGCATGTTTCAGGCCTATCTGCAAGACGATTTGAAAGGCTGCAGCAGCCCCGCTGACGCCTGTAACGCCCCCCACGTTACCACTCAGGTACAATCCAGAGCCAGCAATAGCCACCTCGTCCTCCGCCACTGCGGATGTCAATCCAACGAAGACGGCCGAATGCGCCATGCCTGTTGCAAAGCCGGCGAGGAATATCAGGAGCGATCCCCAGACTGTGGTATGCCCATGCCAGAATAGGAGCAAGAGAGTGAAAGACAGTGCCGAGCTGGCACTCGCTAGTATGGTAGGAGCTTTGTAACTTCCAGTCCTGATTTGTGTTAGCTCGTCATCTTACATACGTGAACGAAAGACTGTACCGCTTGATCCATGCCCCTGTCAGGAGGCCACCGACCGTATTTCCAACCACAGAGGGTATGAGGTAGGCGCCGGCTTCGCCAGTCGATGCATTATTGGTGACTTGGAAGTAGATTGGGATGATGAACATCAGCTTGCCACTAAGTTAGCCTTCCATCTTTCAGCTACAATTGCTGGGTCTTACTGCGGTCTGAGAAAAGTTCTGCAGGAGAAGGATTCCATAAGACGTGCCAACAACGTAGCGGGTGAGTAGTTGGACAGGAAAGATTGGCTCTTTCGCGAAGTACCGTTCGTATACGACAAACGTTCCAGCGCCGATAACAGCAACGCAAGCGGATGTGACGATGACGGGGTGGTTCCAATCGTATTTCTGGCCGCCAGTGTCCAGGACGAACAGCGCAGTGAAGATCGTTATACTCATGCAAACCGCTCCGATGAAGTCGATACGTCGTAACTTGTCGCGAGCGGATTCGCAGTGCCCAGGTTTAAAAGTCTTCTGCGGAACGTTCAACTTCCATTGGACTAAGACAATCGAAAGAATGACTGGAGGAACTTGTGCCAAGAAAGCCCTGCGGCATCCATCAGTAACTTGTATGCGTAACGAAGGAACTGCCATCTAAGGACTTACCAGCGCCAGCCAATCGTGGAAGCAAGAAACCCACCAATCACGCCGCCACAGCTTCTTCCTACTGTCTGCACCACATTGACATAGCTTCGGTATAGCGCGACTTCGTGGAAGGGCAGCAGATCAGTCAACAAGATCGACACCATGCATACCATTCCAGCGCCCCCAGCACCCTGAATTGTACGAGCAGCGATGATCTGAGCCATTGACCGGCCCAGTCCCGAACCGAGCGTTCCGATCGCGAAGAGGACATAGGCCACCTGCAAACACGACTTTCGCCCAAAGATGTCGCTCAGCTTTCCGAAGAGTGGTTGCGATATACACATGGCCAGCATGTAGCTTGACAGGAGCCAAGAGCCGCTCTCGAGGTCATGAAATTCGGACGAGATCTTGCCATACGTGGCTAACACTAGCGATGTGTCCGCTTGGGAGATGAAGACACCTGCTACGATCAGCGGAGGGCTGTGTCGACAGATTAAAGGCACCCACCGATCAACAAGATAGAAATGGTTGTCACCAGCGATCGTTTCGGCGTTGAGTGGTCTTTCGCGGACCCATCTCCTCGCTCAGGATCCTGCGAAGCGCCATTGACTGCCTACAAAAACTTAGCTAACAAAAAAGGTAATTTTGGGATGAGAGAAGCTCACCTCGTATGATGATGTCAGTTCAGGAAACAAGGGTGTCGCTTCGTCGACTTCTTGAACAGCCGTCTGTGCATCCCATCCTGGTTTGACGGGGCTTCGCTGACGATTTACCATATTGTGTGAAATTTGGAGGTGTACGACTTCGAAGACAACGTAAGGTCGTGATCAATTTCGAAGCGGCTCTGAGCTGGCTTGAACTCAGGATAGACTTGACTGCCCAGATACATCTCCACTTCAACGGTGCACGCTCGGATCGACATAGACTCTGCAATGCAGTGTCATGCAAGCCGATTACGCGGAGTTACGGCACGACCGACATCGTTTGAACAACGATATCCGCATTCGTCTCATCCAATCGAAAGTATACGGTCGCATATCGGCTCCCGCGAAATCGCTATGACCGCAAACGACATGGTGCCGCTAGCATGACCTTGCATTAGCGCCCGCTTTCGTACGCTACCACACTGACATTGCATATCGCATCATGAACGGCGAGACTCAACACCGAACTACGCCATTCGCGCGGCGATACCCCGCAATGCTTGTCTATGTACTCTGATCACAGTCACGTAGCAGAGTCGTGTTCTCAAACCATCAGACTCTACGAATCTCATGGCGTGTGCTGAGCTGAAAACGGTGGCTTCGGAGAAATGTATCCACTCCCGTAATTCTCAACACAGATCGCGACATTCGCAGCCACAAAGTCGGGAAGGACGGGACTGTGTGATTCGCGTATGAATCAAGTCTTATCCCACACCATAAGTATTGCTATCAATGCTGTATCCACTTCCGACATATGTCCGGTTCAACAACAACTGGGGCAACGACAGCTATCACAATGGCCGCAACCGATAAGTCAACGCCCGACATCTCCACGATTGAGGATGTTTCGAGCATTCCTCTCAAAGACATGGAGGACGAAGACAAGATTCAGACTGACGCCGATGGCTTCGCTGGCGATGTGGAGAATCTGCCGAAGGGGTACTATCTCAGTTCCTTCTTCCTTGGTACATGTTGCGCCGTGGGCTTTGGTGCTTGGGCTGGCAATGCTGGTAAGTCCGCTACTTGATAAATCACATGAGAAAATGCCTAACGATCGCAATACAGGCTTTGCATATGCTGCACCTATTCTGGGTACCATCAATGCGGACATTGGACCTGATCCCAATATCCAATGGGTCGCACTTGTGCATCCAGTTGGACTGTCCGTAGGTATGGTACGTACACCGACAAATCTTGACTTCCACTCGTTCATCACTGACTTCGACCAGACCATCATAGGAAGACTAAGCGATATCTTCGGTCGTCGTTATTTCTTCATCGTGGGGGCATTCCTCGCTATGATCGGCACACTTATCAGTGCTCTCGCTACCAACGTCAACATGTTGATTGTTGGATCCATGATCAAGGCACTCGCAGCTGCGACGCAACTGTCCTGTTACTACACCATCGGCGAACTCATCCCATCCAAGTACCGATATCTCATGATTGGCGCAATCAACGTCTGGAATCTACCTGGGCAGGGTTTCGCCCCCGTCGTTGCACAGAGTCTAGTTGCGACTCGAGTCGGTTGGCGCGCTGTTTACTTCCTACTCACTGCCGTCAACGGAGCGTCTTTGATCTGCTACTGCGTCTTTTACCATCCTCCCAACTTCCACCAGAAGCATGGTCAGAGGGAGAAGAAGATGGATTTTGTTAAGAAGTTCGACTACGTTGGCACGTTGCTTTATGCCGCCGGCCTTACTATGTTCCTGCTTGGTCTTTCATGGGGCGGCACTAAGTATAGCTGGACGTCGGCGGAGGTGCTGTCCTTCATCCTCATCGGCTTCGCCTGTCTTGTTGCTTTTGTATGCTGGGAACTCTTCATGGATCTTAAGGAGCCTTTGGTTCCTATGAGTCTCTTTCGTCATCGCCCGTGGGTCGTATCGGCAATACTCACGGGTATTGGGGCTGGAGTGTACTACGCTGGCGCGAGTAAGTATACCCTCATCAATCATGCTAGGATAGCAGCTAATAGCCCGCAGTCATCTGGCCCCAGATCACACAGAACTTCTACGCCAACGGCGACCTTATGCATGCCGCTTTTCTTTCCTCGTTAGCCAATCTTGGCATCCTGATTGGCGGTTTCGTGGGAGGATGCCTGGCTGGACCGATCGGTTATCAAAACTGGCAGATCACCGTGGCCATGGCTATAGGTGGAGGGCTCCTTGCGTGTAAGTCTGACTTTATCGCTGCATCTACACTATATCATGTACTAACGGAGACAACAGCCGTGTCAACAGCAAACCCAAGCAACCAAGCCCAATCGTCTGCGTTAATCTTCTTTTCCGCCATGATGATGGGATACGTGGCGGACATCGCTCTCGGGAACGCCATTCTCACGATAACCGATCAACGAGAGATTGGCGCTGCTGGCGGTGCTGCTGCATCAGTACGCACCGCTGTCGCGGGTACATGTCAAGCAGTCTACAACGTCGTCCTGGCGAATAGGCGTTCGACAACGGTGCCTGCTGCAGTTGTACCCGCCGTATTGGGCGCTGGCTTGCCTAAAGATAGCACTGCTTCGATCCTCTCAGCCTTGTCGTTGGGAACGCCTGCGGCATGGTCCGCGGTAAAAGGACTAACCCCTGAGATTAGAGCAGTTGCGGTATCGGCATATCATTCGGGCCTGTCACAAGCATTCAAGACGGTTTATCTGGTGTCTTTAGCTTTTACTGGACTGGGCATATTGTTGTCGCTGCTTGCGCCGAACACGAGTAAATTGTTGACTGAAAAAGTCGCGGTTTCTCTCCAGACGCGGAAACCCAAAGAGGAAAACGCAGCATAGCGCAATTAAACCACGAATAGTCTTCAGAAGCACGGGAGTATATAGCACGAGCGTGATGGTGATGTCTCCCCGTCCGCGGTCCGGAAGAAGTCGGGCAAACGTCAGCGCCTCAATCGCGCCCCGCCAACCCCTCGTGCCCCTCCACTTTTCCGTCTCCGCACCTGCATCATAGCCTGCCACCCACGCGCTCCCGCAACAAAGCGCGTCAATTCCCGCAACACTCTGGATGCCGTCCTCAGCTCGCGGGCCAGAACCATGTCGAGCATCTTCGCTCGGGAATTTTTCCACGAAATTCGGGCTTGCTCCGGAGAAACTGGCGCAGTGACACGCGCTGACCGCCGCCCCGGCTGGAGCATCGTGAGCTGCCAGTGACGTCCGGCCAGTTGCCGAGGGCTATAGCTTCCCAGCGGCCTGCCAAACAAATGCCACAGAAGTGTGGTCCGCCTGCCCGACTCTACCCACCCTGACTTCATAACGATAGCCAGCTCCGCTTTTCGCTGAACTTTGAGCTTGATAGCTTTTTCACCATCCCTCTCTCCAAATTTCCCCATTCCCCATACTGCTTTCCCATCTTCCCTTCCACCGCTGATACCAATTTGCTTTGTCGCTTCGCTCGTCTTTCCACTTTTACACGTTGTGAATTGAACTCTACCAAAAGTTTACACCATGGCTTCCAACGGTAACGAAGGAGGCCCAGCCGGGCAGGAGAAGATCAACACCGATATCATCACCCTTACGCGATTCCTCACTGAAGAGCAGACCAAGTACGCGGAGGCAACAGGAGACTTCACGTAAGTGCCAAACTCAAGCCACTTGGAACAGAAACCTGATCATTCTACCAGACTACTATGCCACGCACTGCAATTCGCCTTCAAGAGCATTGCCTACTACATCCGGAGAGCAACACTGATCAACGTATGCAAACCATCACAGACCACACCAGAGCGCAACTAACACCCCCAGCTCACCGGCCTCCAAGGCACATCCAACACAACCGGCGACGACCAAAAGAAACTCGACGTAATCGGCGATGAGCTCTTCATCAGCGCCATGCGCTCCTCCGGCCGCGTGCGCCTCCTCATCTCCGAAGAGCAAGAAGAAGCCATCGTCTTCAACGAGCACCCCAACGCGCGCTACGCCGTAGCCTGCGACCCCATCGACGGATCCTCCAACCTCGACGCCGGAGTCGCCGTCGGCACCATCTTCGCCGTGTACAAACTGCCCGAGGGCGCCAAGGGCACAAAAGAGGAAATGCTTCTACCCGGCACCGAGATGGTGGCCTCGGGCTTCACCATGTACGGCGCGTCCGCACAGTTGGTGCTTAC